GATACATATTTAAAATTAAAGGATAATATAAGGTTAAAGTGGAAACAAAATTGTCTTCTCTAAAATATGAAAAAATGACTATTAATTTAAAAAAAATTCAAATTTAAAAAATCTATTATTTTTGGGATGGAGAGAGTAATAAGTGTCTTATATGAAAATGGATTATACATTTTAAGATAATTTGTTGCTTAATGCAAGTATCAACATTATATATGGTGAAATTATGAATTTTAAATTGAGTTTTAATTAAAAAAAAAACAACTTCATTTAAGATTAAAACTCTAATTTTTTTATACAAGTTAAAACTGATATATAGTTTTCCTATATATATGTGTCTTAATTAATAAAATAAAAATAACTAATCAATTAAATAATAGAATTTACCTTTTAATATTTTAAATAAAATTACTTATGCTATGCTAATAAAAAAATAACTTATATTATGCTATTAATTCCAAATTTTCATCTCTTATAATTCTTCTCTTTTATCATTATTCCTACTCAATAGTCATCTTCCAAAATTTCATTGTAATTATGGCCTAAGGTGAAGGCATCTTCGTGCCAATGCGGAGGGAAAGTCCTCCACCGACAATTATGAAGATTCGTTGTCTCTCCGTTCCAAAAAAAGAAGCAAACCTTAAAGTTTAGCATTTGCACGTTCGTGCTAATTATGGACGTGGGAGACCTTGACTTACAAATTGTTGGGAAAATTACTTGGATGGAATGACAACTTTTAGGTGGGAACTGCGTTAGCATTTGCACTTTCGTGTAAGTTATGGACAGGGAAGTCCTTGACTTACAACACTTGTTAGGAAAATTACTAGATGGAACAACTACTTCTAGAAGGGAAATGGAGTTATTTTTTTCGAGGTTTTTAATTAGGGTGTGTTTGGATTAGAAGAAACAAAGGGAAAATGATAAGAGGGATGAATTTTTTTTTTTATTAATAAGTATCTTTCTATTGGTTTAACTAACTCATTAATTTAAAAAATCTCAATTTAAAATAGTTAAGAATTCAAAATATTACAATAACATGCAACAAACCTTAATATATATATATAGGATAATGCATATCAATTTTAACTCTAAGAAAAAAAAAATTGGAGTCATAACCTTAAATAACATTATTTCATTTAATTAAAATTTAATTCAAAATTCAAACTTTCACCCTATTAAATTTTGATACATAAATTTGAAAATAAATTATATATTCTAACATAACCTATTTTTAAATGTAGGTATCAACATTATATATGGTGGAATTCTAAATTTTAAAAGTAAAATAAACAACACCATTTAAGGTTAAGATTTTAATTTTTTTTATACAAGTCAAGATTCATATGCCATTATGCCCTTTTGTCATATACATGGGTCTTCATTAATAAAATAAAAACAACTAATCAATAAAATAATATTGAGTCTACTTTTTAACATTTTAAATAAAATGATTTATGCCATACTAATTAAAAAAAAAAAACTTATTATATCATATTATTGGTCTTAAATTTCATCTTATATAATTCCTTTCTTTTATCATTATTCCTACTCAATACTCATCTTCCAAAATTTCATTGTAATTACAGCCTAAGGAGAAGGCATCTTCGTGCTGATGCGGAGGGAAAGTCCTCCACCGACAAGTACGAAGATTCATTGTCTTTCTGTCCCAAAAAAGGAGCAAACTTTGACGTTTAGCATTTGCACTTTCGTGCTAATTATGGATGTGGAAGACCTTGACTTACAACCTGTTGGGAAAATTATTTGGATGGAATGACAAATTTTAGGTGGGAATTGAAGCATTCACACTTTCGTGTAAGTTATAGGAGGTGAAGACCTTGACTTACAACTTGTTAGGAAAATTACTAGATAGAACAACCACTTCTAGAAGGGAAATGGAATTATTTTTTCAAGGGTTTTAATTAGGATATGTTTGGTTTGGAAGAAATACAGAAAAATGATAGAAGGGATGAATTTTTTTTATTAATAAGTATTTTTTTATCGGTGTAGCTAAGTTTATACCCATTAATTTAAAAAATTTTAATTTAAAATAGTTAAGAATTTAAAATTTTA